GTCCTTGAAACTATTATCATGAACTTTGCTTTTAATGCAATTATAAGATAAAAAACAATAATACTTTATATATTAATTAAAGGTGGTAACCTATCCAGTATCAACCTCCAATCTTTGAAATCAAACATGAAGGATTTTTTTAAAATAATAAACACGTGTCTATTGTTTATGTGACAATAGTGTTAGCTATTCAAAGTTTTCGACATTAACCACTGTCACCATACAGAGACGAAACACTCATTGCTAAGTGTGTAGTTTAAACGACAGTGGTCGGCAACGTTTTAGGACAATAGCAGATGATCACTCATTTGACATGTTTCTAAGGAACCATAGACATTGACGTCATCAGGGTATAGAGGTAACCCCCAAAGAGTAAAAGACCAGTCAGTGTACTGCTTTACATTTTAACATTTTAGTGGCAGTTACGTCATCTGCTCTCGTCATTTCTGTCAAGAGTCTTAGTGTGCACAGATTCAATTACGGGTGCCTGCCAACTGCTCTTCTGAGCGTAATGGAAGCCATTCTTAAGATAAAAGCGTACCTAATATGTCTCCTTACTGTATATACACGGGAACTTATTGAAATCAAGTTTCTTTTTATAATCTAAGACAAGAGAACGCAGTAGGGCTAAAAACAGGCCGATGGAACTGTTTACAGAATACTTTCGTTGAGTGGAAATGTTCAGAAACAGCTCCAAATTGGATGATTTTCGAAATTCGATGTATTGTATGCGTGTAAGATATTAGATAAATGATTTGTTTTTCTTGTGTTGTAAAGTCTACCCAAACAGTTTCTTCATGTAACAATTTGCAAATGCACATCAAATAATACATTTTCATATATCAAATATAATACAGTTGTTTCAGCGATAAGGTGATGATGCACGTTTAATTTGTGCAGTGTCGATTGCTGAGGTCACACTGATTTGTACAGTACCGAATGCTGAGGTCACAATGATTTGTACAGTACCGAATGCTGAAGTCACAATGATTTGTTCAGTACCGAATACTGAGGTCACAATGATTTGTTCAGTACCGAATACTGAAGTCACGCTGATTCGTTCAGTATGGAATGCTGAGGTCACACAGATTTCTTCAGTGTCGAATGCCAAGGTCACACTGATTTGGTCAGTGCCTAATGTTTAGGTCACACTGATTTGGTCAGTGCCTTATGTTTAGGTCACACGGATTTGGTCAGTGCCTTATGTTTAGGTCACACGGATTTGGTCAGTGCCTAATGTTTAGGTCACACTGATTTGGTCAGTGCCTAATGTTTAGGTCACACTGATTTGGTCAGTGCCTAATGTTTAGGTCACACGGATTTGGTCAGTGCCTAATGTTTAGGTCACACTGATTTGGTCAGTGCCTAATGTTTAGGTCACACTGATTTGGTCAGTGCCGAATACTGGGGTAACACTGATTAGTTAGTTTAGTTTAAGCATATTTTATTTGACCAAAAATCAAATGGAATTGGACATAAGTTAAACAACTCCTAACAACGAACCAATCACAACGGAACAGATCAGATGACACCAACTCTTCTCAACGAACCAATGACACCACACCAACTCTTCTCAACGAACCAATGACACCACAGCAACTCTTCTCAACGAACCAATGACATCATACCACACCACACCAACTCTTCTCAACGAACCAATGACACCATACCACACCACACCAACTTTTCTCAATGAACCAATCACACCACACCAACTCTTCTCAACGAACCAATGACATCAGACAAAGCCTTATCCACGAACCAACGACATCAGACCAACTCTTCTCAAGGAACAAATGACAAAAGACCACACCACACCAAATCCTCTCAACGAACCAATGAAACCGGAACTGATCAGACCACACCAACTCCTCCCAACGAACCAATGACACAAGACCAGCTCTTCTCAACGAACCAATGACACCAGACCGCACCACACCAACTCTTCTCAACGAACCAATGACACCACAGCAATTCTTCTCAACGAACCAATGACACAAGACCAGCTCTTCTCAACGAACCAATGACATCATACCACACCAGACCAACTCCCCTCAACGAACCAATGACACCAAACCAACTCTTCTCATCGAATTAATGACATCAGATCACACCACCCCAACTCCTCCCAACGATCCAATGGCACCAGATCACACCACACCAACTCTTCTCCAGGAACCAATGACACCAGACCGCACCACAACAACTCTTCACAACGAACCAATGACACAAGACCAAGTCTTCTCAACGAACAAATGACACCACAGCAACTCTTCTCCAGGAACCAATGACACCAGACCGCACCACAACAACTCTTCACAACGAACCAATGACATAAGACCAAGTCTTCTCAACGAACCAATGACACCACAGCAACTCTTCTCAACGAACCAATGACACCACAGCAACTCTTCTCAACGAACCAATGACACCAGACCGCACCACAACAACTCTTCTCAACGAACCAATGACACCACAGCAACTCTTCTCAACGAACCAATGACACCACAACAACTCTTCACAACTAACCAATGACATCATACCACACCACACCAACTCTTCTCAACGAACCAATGACACCACAGCAATTCTTCTCAACGAACCAATGACACAAGACCAGCTCTTCTCAATGAACCAATGACATCATACCACACTAGACCAACTCCCCTCAACGAACCAATGACACCAAACCAACTCTTCTCATCGAATTAATGACATCAGATCACACTACCCCAACTCTTCTCAACGAACCAATGGCACCAGATCACACCACAACAACTCTTCACAACGAACCAATGATAGCAGATCACACCACATCAACTCTTCACAACGAACCAATGACACCAGACCAACGTCCCTCAACGAACCAATGACATCATACCACACTAGACCAACTCCCCTCAACGAACCAATGACACCAAACCAACTCTTCTCATCGAATTAATGACATCAGATCACACTACCCCAACTCTTCTCAACGAACCAATGGCACCAGATCACACCACACCAACTCTTCTCAACGAACCAATGACACCAGACCGCACCACAACAACTCTTCACAACAAACCAATGACATCAGATCACACCACACCAGCTCTTTTCAACGAACCAATGACACAAGACCAGAGCAGACTGCGAAATTATAATGAGTGAGTAATGTCCGCGAAAAGCGCGGTTGAACTGGGAGGGAGCCCGCCAGAGGAAGCTGACATGGAATGACATTTGGTATACTGAACCACAGAGGCTACAATTTAACCTCAAGTCAGTATACGATGTCTTGCCGAGCCCAACAAACCTGACAACGTTGGGGCTGCCAGACGATCCAAGCTGCAAGCTTTGCGGGTGACCAGCTAACTTGGAGCACATCCTTTCTTCTTGTTCAGTCGCCTTGACAGATGGACGATACACCTGGCGTCACGACAAGGTTTTGTCCGCCATTGCAGATGCCTTGGAAAAGTGCAGGCGGAAACCAAAGAGGGACAAGGGACAGCTGAAATTTGTAAACTTTGTCCGGGCAGGAGAGCCTACCACAGGAGGGGGACCGTTGAAGGGACTGGGCTACTAGGAACAGCAGGGGATTGGCAGCTGAAAGCAGATCTGAATGGTCGTATGCAGTTTCCACCAGAGATAGCAGTTACAAATCAAAGGCAAGACATCGTCACCTGGTCTTTGTCTACTAAACAGGCTGTCCTGGTTGAACTTACTGTGCCATGGGAAGAAAGAATGGAGAAAGCCTATGATCGCAAGAAGTTTAAGTATCAGGGTCTAGTGGAGGACTGCCAACACAGAGGATGGAAAGTATGGTGCTTTCCAGTGGAGGTGGGTTGCAGAGGATTTGTGGGCCAGTCGATGTGGAGAGCTATGCGGGTCATAGGCATCATTGGTGCAGACAGGCGTCAGCTCATAAGCTGTCTCTGTAAAGAAGATGAGTTGACTTCACTGTGGCTATGGAGGAAGAGAAAGGAGAAGTGGATCAAACATCAGTGATCTCGAGAAACATCGGAGATATAACATTGTAGGAGGTGGCATATGAACATTTAATAACACCAAGTAAAGTAGCCGAGTGGTTCCGGGCTGGGACCTGATCACCCTAGTCGGCGCACCTCTGGAGTTTGTCGTGGACAGCGCCGAAACAACCGAGGAAGGAGGATCCACCTTATGACGGGACCACGACGCATCTACACCATCAAGATGTTTATAGGTAATATATTTCACTCGTGTGTCTATTTTATTATATATTTTTTTTTAAAATTTAACTCGAGTGCACAATATTTCACACTTGTGAAATATATTTTTTTTAATTACTGAATACACTATTAAGTATCTGTTATGTATTCTTCGCGCTGCATTACGTTGAAATATGTTCGTGTCATAAATGAAGTGTTGGAAAAGTTACTGCACAATTCAAAACCACACAGCATTTTCCATACTGACATTCCTCAAACAGAAATGTTTATTTAGCATGATATTATAATACATACGAGTATGATATATTGGTCCTATATTTGGTTATAATATATAATATATATTATATAATACCTTCATGGATAACTGGCAAAACTACTGATACATTTGCTGTGCTTGCTATTGTATTGAAAAGAAATTAATAGTTATCATAACTGATATGCGCAATTGTTTCTATTTAGTTGTGGCTGCATGGGGTCATGAGGAATGCAAGTTAGAGTATAGATAAAAACAATGAAAAAACGAAATCCCGCGAGCCGGATTCGAACCAGCGACCTAAGGATTGCTATTTATACCACTACAGTCCTCCGCTCTACCAACTGAGCTATCACGGGTAGATACCATATGTGGAACCAACATAATTAATATATCTCAACAATAACTACGTGCAATCTTATTTATTTTCCTTGTGGTGATCTATATTTGGCTTTTTTACTATACGAAAAATAAATTACAATTCATATTTAAAGACATTGTTCTGCTTTATAACATCGATTATTAGCACATTTCGTTTTTGATGGTCACATGACAGCAAAATGGCGGCGGTCGAATTCTCATCCGTGAAACCACCGACCCCGAGTAGGTTACAAAGTAATATATCTGATACGGCAGTTTTATCAGCCGATCAATGTATTGAAAAAGCAACCGAGAAACTTCTGTTTAAAGACTTCAACGAGTGCATACGACTTTGTGAGGCAGGAATTACCGAGGCTCAAATGCAACCTGACACTGTGAGGTAGATTTGTTTACAACTGTATTACTGTAAAGCAGATAAGTGCAAAGAAACACGTCATTTAGATATCAGTCAAGTAGACAGCTTACAACGAGATTGTATTGTATAGTTATATACATCATCTATTTAACTTCATGTATTACCGTTAGATCGTTTTAAATCATTTAGGTATATACATGTGATTTATTGGTCAGGTACACCATGGGGAAAACCACAAATTTGTGGATAATACGGATTGCCTATTATTAGGGATATGGATTTGTTACTAAAAATAGCCGAAATTGTTTAAACAGCAACTTTTGCAATATACTTTTAAAAATCGCATTATCTATGTTGTACTTAGAGGGAACTTAATGATATGCATATGATATAGAATCAGGTTTTTATTGTTTTTCAGTCATAGTGTACAGATAAAACTGGAGGCGCTGTGTATATTGGCTGTGCAAGCCTATGCTGAACTTAACCAGTGGCAACAGGTGATGCCCTTTGTGCAGCAGGTATTTGGCAGTGTGGAAGATTGTCCTTATAAAGTTATGCACCTATGGTGAGGATTCTGGTGGTTATTTTGTATTAATTTTGTCTTCATCATTGTATTTGTTATTCCTTCTTGTCACAGGGACATGAATTACCAACCCACAGTCCATATGTACATGTTTGTATAATAGATTTAGTGATTACTATGATACATATGTGTGGACCTTAAGTCAAGGATTTGTACCAAGTTCCGGTGTTTCTTGTTTCTAAAAAAAAAATTTCTGAACACTAAAATTTATGTCAAAGTAATGGGAAAAAAACTTAATCAGTTTCTAGCAAATCAGCCTACAGTATTTTAGATTTCCTAACAGATTACTGATAAAACCTATATATGCCTAATGAACTAAAATATTTTCAAACTTAAAATGAAATGGTCTCTGTGAATGCCTGAAGGAGACATATACTTTGGGCTTCAAATGATCCATAATCATCATGAGTCAGATCACTTTTCATGCTGAATGATACGGATATCTGCCCTTGGAAGTCAGTAGTCAAGGGTAGAATTACTTTTGGGAAAAAGAGGTCAAGGTTTCCAGTGCTTCCATGACTTTCTTGGAACCCCTACCTCTTGAAGAAAAAAGTTAGCTCCATCAGGTCCTCATTATTGTTGGAAACCCACAAGTCTCTGTCGTTTGAGACTCAGTGACAGAATAGTCTTGTGGGTTTCCGACATTAGTCAATCCACAGGTCACAATCAAGTAATCAGTGTTGATTCATTGTTAGATCACATATCCCCTCCTCAGGATTGTCATGCTTATGTATGTTATTTACAACTTATATAGAAATAGACCTGGATATCAAAGTCTATGTTAAAAGTAACCCCTTAGAATTATTCCATTTGCAAGTATCTTCATTTTCTGTTTTGTTTTTGTCTTTTTTTAATCAAACTCATTGAAACATAATCTCTCAAAATATCATACTATGTCTAATTTATTTATTTGTTTAACAGGTTTGACATCTACTATTGCGACCTTTTGGTCTTTCAGCAGACAAGGAACTGTATCTCATTTTACCAGTACATGTATATATATACTCAACAAAAAAAGAAAGGTTAACATGTTTCCTTGGCGAATACCTGTAAATGAGTGAAAACAAAATGACGTTTGTGCAATATTAGAAAATGGTAATGTTTTACATTACAAAATCCAAGGGGTTACCAAAATCATTCAAGCGTGAAAGTCTGTATTAGCGAAAGAGCTGCACGAGATTTCTGCGACTAACTTGTATCATCACTTGAATTTCATAAACATTCAAACTGACAACTGTTCCTTAGATCCTCAGGACTTAGAAATCACCGAATCTTGCTATCTATCAACTTTATCATTATGCCCCGGCTGTCACAAGTACAGAGAGAAAGGGCAGTAGGCATGATCCAGGCTTGGGAGTCTCGCCGTTGAGTTGCACGGCATTTTGGTTGCAATGTTAAGACAATTTGCCAATTGGTAAGTCGTTTAAACCAAACTGGGTCAATATCCGATCGTCCCCGAAGCGGCCGACCCCATAAAACAACCGCCAGGGATGACCGTTGTATACGATTGATACACTTGCGCAATCGATTCGTAACCGCAGTAGAGACTACAAGGACATTGTTTGGGCGTCGTGTGTCTCCCCAAACAGTCCGCAACAGGTTGAGGGCCTACCAATTGAAAGGGCAGCATCCCTACACTGTACCCAATTTATTGCGACGTCACCGTAATAATCGGCGTAACTGGACCCGTGTTCACCGTCGTTGGGCCTTACGACAATGGAACAGTGTTCTGTTTTCAGATGAGTCCAGGTTTTGTCTGCAACACGGTGACGGAAGGCGCAGAGTGTGGAGGCGACAAGGGGAGCGTTTTGCGAACTGCTGCGTCGCAGAACGGTACCGCTTTGGCGGCGGAAGTGTAATGGTTTGGGGTGGTATTTGTGGGGACTCGTACCAGGCTTGTTGTGTTAAATGGCAATTTAATCGGCATTCGATATTGGGACAAAATTTTAAGACCAGTGGTTCTGCCATTCTTAAGACGCCATGGCAATGGCGCCATTTTTCAACAGGATAACTCACCAGCGCACACCAGTTGCGTCAGCAGAATTTCTTGCAGCAGAATAACGTACAGGTGTTAGATTGGCCATCTAAATCACCTGATTTGTCACCGATTGAGCATGTCTGGGATGTTCTTGGGCGACGTGTGAGAGAACGTCAAAATCAGCCGTCAAACTTGCAGGAGCTGACCCAAGCCCTGATCGCTGAATGGAACAACATCTCTCCTCGAATTATCCGCCGGTTTACGAGTTCCATGCGACGACGCTGCAATGCTGTTTACTTCGCAAACGGTGGCCATACCCGTTACTAATGGTGTTACCTTTGAAATCGACCCCAACGTCCTTTACAGTCAAATAAAATTAACTGAACGCAAAGTTTTATAATGAACCATGACTGCAGTTTTATCAGAATTGATCAATTACTTTATTCGTTCATGATTGGTAAGGATTTATGAAGGGGTTAATTAATTAATCACAGAATAAAGTAGTGTTGCCTTTCTTTTTTTGTTTAGTATATGTCTATACAAGATACAATGTAAAAAGGTTAGAAAATTATACCTTGAGTGTATGTATACAGTGGAAATACATTAGAAATATTGGGGATATTTCGTGGTGGTTCTTGCTACACTTTTTTTGAAAGATTTGGAAGAATTTTGACCATGCATTTTCACCTAATATTGTCACTGCCTTAGCTAGTTGGGTAAAGTGTGATAGAAGGGAGATAACTCTTGTAAACTTGATTCATATTTTTTCTTAAGTAATTAATGTCTGGTCTGAAAATAAAAATATGTGGTATTACCAAGTGATCTCTCGCCTCTTTATGATAATTCAGCTAATGTGCTAAATTTCATTCACATAAATTAAAGATTGTTAAGTAAGGTAGTTTCTTTTTCAGAATGGAAACAATAACATGCAGCCATGTGATGTAGATGAATGACTAATATCTTGATGGAGTTGGTTTTAATACTTTAGCTTTCAATGTCCACAAATAATAATCATTAAATGATCAAAATCTGAAAATGGCATCACATTCCGTTCAACATGTGTATATTTCTTTATACCTCAGTAAACCTAAAAAAGATCATCACTTCCTTTATTACAGTCCTCTCTACCTATGTGTTTTAATAGTAAAATTATGAGCAGAGAGGTGCAATCACAACACGATCTGATGTACTCTGTTAACGGTGATTTATTATTGTATTTTAATGCCAACCGGTTTCGCCCGGGGGAGGGCTTCGTCAGGGCGGGGGAAGGCTTCGTCACATCAGATCGTGTTGTGATTGCACCTCTCTGTTAATATGTCTTAATCATATGCAATCACCCTGCATACTTGAAGGTGTCCACACCTAGACGATAAACCTGATACTTCCACATGAAGTACCTAGGCGTTGGCTCCTCTCTTTCTTTTTATTAATAGTAAAATTACATATAGAATCATCACTCCCTTTATTACAGTCCTCTCTACTATGTGTTTTAATAGTAAAATTACATATAAAATCATCACTCCCTTTAATTTGTTACAGACCTCTCTACTATGTGTTTTAATAGTAAAATTACATATAGAATCATCACTCCCTTTAATTTGTTACAGACCTCTCTACTATGTGTTTTAATAGTAAAATTACATATAAAATCATCACTCCCTTTAATTTGTTACAGACCTCTCTACTATGTGTTTTAATAGTAAAATTACATATAAAATCATCACTCCCTTTAATTTGTTACAGACCTCTCTACTATGTGTTTTAATAGTAAAATTACATACAAAGTCATCACTCCCTTTAATTTGTTACAGACCTCTCTACTATGTGTTTTAATAGTAAAATTACATATAGAATCATCACTCCCTTTATTACAGTCCTCTCTACTATGTGTTTTAATAGTAAAATTACATATAAAATCATCACTCCCTTTAATTTGTTACAGACCTCTCTACTATGTATTTTGATAGTAAAATTACATATAAAATCATCACTCCCTTTAATTTGTTACAGACCTCTCTACTATGTATTTTGATAGTAAAATTACATATAAAATCATCACTCCCTTTAATTTGTTACAGACCTCTCTACTATGTGTTTTAATAGTAAAATTACATACAAAATCATCACTCCCTTTAATTTGTTACAGACCTCTCTACTATGTGTTTTAATAGTAAAATTACATATAGAATCATCACTCCCTTTATTACAGTCCTCTCTACTATGTGTTTTAATAGTAAAATTACATACAAAGTCATCACTCCCTTTAATTTGTTACAGACCTCTCTACTATGTGTTTTAATAGTAAAATTACATACAAAGTCATCACTCCCTTTATTACAGTCCTCTCTACTATGTATTTTGATAGTAAAATTACATATAAAATCATCACTCCCTTTAATTTGTTACAGACCTCTCTACTATGTGTTTTAATAGTAAAATTACATACAAAGTCATCACTCCCATGTGTACTGTCTACCTATGTGTTTTAATAGTAAAATTTCAAAATCAGTCAAAGTCAGCTTATAATCTAAACTGTTGTAGACTTACTGTCGGTTTTCACACTTTTGCACTATGAATTCAAAAGGTTTTGCTAAAAAGAATTGTAGATGAGCATTAAGTCTTTAAAGTGATGTTTTTAATGGTCAGTTAATATCTTGAATAGGATATCAAGATGCCTGGTCAGATAGGAAAAATTATAAGGCTTTTACACAACCAGCTGGTTTTTGCTAAGGCAAAATTTTTGCGCTCCCACCTTAAGACACTGTCCTCATACCAGGTCAATAATTATAGAAGGGTGAAAATAGGTTGATATATAAGTTGTATGTATTTTTTTCCAGTATCCTGTTGCATTCAAAAATCAAGGAATATACACAGTGCTATGCTCTGTCAAGTGTTTGGTTAAAACACCCAGGGAACATTGGGAGTCAACTAATTACCTACTACAGCACGTTACACACACCAAAAACGGAAGGCAAAAGCACTCTACCTAACACAACATTTGGACAGGTACATAACACTCTACACCAAACAATACAGACAGGTACAGAGGAACTAACACAACATACAGACAGGTACATAACACTCTACACTAACACAACATACAGTCAGACAGGTACATAACACTCTACACTAACACAACATACAGTCAGACAGGTACATAACACTCTACACTAACACAACATACAGACAGGTACATAACACTCTACACTAACACAACATACAGACAGGTACATAACACTTTACACTAACACAACATACAGACAGGTACATAACACTCTACACTAACACAACATACAGACAGGTACATAACACTCTACACTAACACAACATACAGACAGGTACATAACACTCTACACTAACACAACATACAGACAGGTACATAACACTCTACACTAACACAACATACAGACAGGTACATAACACTCTACACTAACACAACATACAGACAGGTACATAACACTCTACACTAACACAACATACAGACAGGTACATAACACTCTACACTAACACAACATACAGACAGGTACATAACACTCTACACTAACACAACATACAGACAGGTACATAACACTCTACACTAACACAACATACAGACAGGTACAAAGCACTCTACACTAACACAACATACAGACAGGTACATACTCTACACTAACACAACATACAGACAGGTACATAACACTCTACACTAACACAACATACAGACAGGTACATAACACTCTACACTAACACAACATACAGACAGGTACTGTACACAACAATATACACTAACAAAACAATACAGACAGGTACATAACACTCTACACTAACACAACATACAGACAGGTACATAACACTCTACACTAACACAACATACAGACAGGTATATAACACTCTACACCAACACAACATACAGACAGGTACATAACACTCTACACTAACACAACATACAGACAGGTACATAACACTCTACACTAACACAACATACAGACAGGTACATAACACTCTACACTAACACAACATACAGACAGGTACATAACACTCTACACTAACACAACATACAGACAGGTACACATACAGACAGGTACATAACACTCTACACTAACACAACATACAGACAGGTACATAACACTCTACACTAACACAACATACAGACAGGTACATAACACTCTACACTAACACAACATACAGACAGGTACATAACACTCTACACTAACACAACATACAGACAGGTACATAACACTCTACACTAACACAACATACAGACAGGTACATAACACTCTACACTAACACAACATACAGACAGGTACATAACACTCTACACTAACACAACATACAGACAGGTACATAACACTCTACACTAACACAACATCGACAGCTACATAACACTCTACACTAACACAACATACAGACAGGTACATAACACTCTACACCAACACAACATACAGACAGGTACATAACACTCTACACTAACACAACATACAGACAGGTACATAACACTCTACACTAACACAACATACAGACAGGTACATAACACTCTACACCAACACAACATACAGACAGGTACATAACACTCTACACTAACACAACATACAGACAGGTACATAACACTCTACACTAACACAACATACAGACAGGTACATAACACTCTACACTAACACAACATACAGACAGGTACATAACACTCTACACAAACACAACATACAGACAGGTACATAACACTCTACACCAACACAACATACAGACAGGTACATAACACTCTACACCAACACAACATACAGACAGGTACATAACACTCTACACTAACACAACATACAGACAGGTACATAACACTCTACACTAACACAACATACAGACAGGTACATAACACTCTACACTAACACAACATACAGACAGGTACATAACACTCTACACTAACACAACATAACATAACACAACATACAGACAGGTACATAACACTCTACACTAACACAACATACAGACAGGTACATAACACTCTACACTAACACAACATACAGACAGGTACATAACACTCTACACTAACACAACATACAGACAGGTACATAACACTCTACACTAACACAACATACAGACAGGTACATAACACTCTACACTAACACAACATACAGACAGGTACATAACACACTCTAACACACTAACACAACATACAACAGGTACATACAGACACTCTAACACTCTACACTAACACAACATACAGACAGGTACATAACACTCTACACTAACAAAATACATACAGACAGGTACATAACACTCTACACTAACACAACATACAGACAGGTATATAGCACTCAACACCAACGCAACATACAGTCAGACAGGTACATATCACTCTACACCAACACAACATACATACAGGTACATAACACTCTACACTAACACAACATACACACAGGTACAAAACACTCTACACTAACACAACATACAGACAGCTACACAACACTCTACACTAACACAACATACAGACAGGTACATAACACTCTACACTAACACAACATACAGACAGGTACAAAGCACTCTACACTAACACAACATACAGACAGCTACATAACACTCTACACTAACACAACATACAGACAGGTACATAACACTCTACACTAACACAACATACAGACAGGTACATAACACTCTACACTAACACAACATACAGACAGGTACATAACACTCTACACCAACACAACATACAGACAGGTACATAACACTCTACACTAACACAACATACAGACAGGTACATAACACTCTACACTAACACAACATACAGACAGGTACATAACACTCTACACTAACACAACATACAGACAGGTACATAACACTCTACACTAACACAACATACTACAGGTACATAACACTCAGACACTACATAACACTAACAACAACATACAGACAGGTACATAACACTCTACACTAACACAACATACAGACAGGTACATAACACTCTACACTAACACAACATACAGACAGGTACATAACACTCTACACTAACACAACATACAGACAGGTACATAACACTCTACACTAACACAACATACAGACAGGTACATAACACTCTACACTAACACAACATACAGACAGGTACATAACACTCTACACTAACACAACATACAGACAGGTACATAACACTCTACACTAACACAACATACAGACAGGTACATAACACTCTACACTAACACAACATACAGACAGGTACACAACACTCTACATACACTAGCACAACATACAGACAGCTACACAACACTCTACACTAACACAACATACAGGCAGGTACAAAGCACTCTACACTAACACAACATACAGACAGGTACATAACACTCTACACCAACACAACCTACAGACAGGTACATAACACTCTACACCAACACAACATACAGACAGGTACATAACACTCTACACTAACACAACATACAGACAGGTACATAACACTCTACATTAACACAACATACAGACAGGTACATAACACTCTACACTAACACAACATACAGACAGGTACACAACACTCTACTCTAACACAACATACAGACAGGTACATAACACTCTACACTAACACAACATACAGACAGGTACATAACACTCTACACTAACACAACATACAGACAGGTACAAAGCACTCTACACTAACACAACATACAGACAGGTACATAACACTCTACACCAACACAACATACAGACAGGTACATAACACTCTACACTAACACAACATACAGACAGGTACATAACACTTATATATAACACAACATGCTTTTGATGTAACACAACATACAGACATGGATACATAACATCTACACAATGTAACTACATAACACTCTACACTACATGTATCTCACTTACAATTTAACACAACATACAGACAGGTATCTAACAACTAAGATGATACATGTATCTAACAATGTAACAGATGGTACATTTATCTCATTTACAATTTAACAGATGGTACATGTATCTAACAATGTAACAGATAATACATGTATCTAACAATGTAACAGATGATATATGTATCTCACTTACAATGTAACAGATGGTACATGTATCTAACGATGTAACAGATGATACATGTATCTCACTTTAATGTAACAGATGATACATGTATCTAACAATGTAACAGATGGTACATGTATCTAACAATGTAACAGATGATACATGTATCTCACTTACAATGTAACAGGTGATACATGTATCTCACTTTAATGTAACAGATGATACATGTATCTAACAATGTAACAGATGGTACATGTATCTCACTTACAATGTAACAGATGGTACATGTATCTAACGATGTAACAGATGGTACATGTATCTAACAATGTAACAGATGATACATGTATCTAACAATGTAACAGATGGTACATGTATCTAACAATGTAACAGATGATACATGTATCTAACAATGTAACAGATGGTACATTTATCTCATTTACAATGTAACAGATGGTACATGTATCTAACAATGTAACAGATGATACATGTATCTAACAATGTAACAGATGATACATGTATCTAACAATGTAACAGATGATATATGTATCTCACTTACAATGTAACAGATGATACATGTATCTCACTTACAATGTAACAGGTGATACATGTATCTCACTTTAATGTAACAGATGATGCATATATCTAACAATGTAACAGATGATACATGATTCTAACAATGTAACAGATGATACATGTATCTCACTTACAATGTAACAGGTGATACATGTATCTCACTTTAATGTAACAGATGATACATGTATCTAACAATGTAACAGATGGTACATGTATCTCACTTACAATGTAACAGATGGTACATGTATCTAACGATGTAACAGATGGTACATGTATCTAACAATGTAACAGATGATACATGTATCTCACTTACAATGTAACAGATGGTACATGTATCTAACAATGTAACAGATGATACATGTATCTAACAATGTAACAGATGGTACATTTATCTCATTTACAATGTAACAGATGGTACATGTATCTAACAATGTAACAGATGATACATGTATCTAACAATGTAACAGATGATACATGTATCTCACTTACAATGTAACAGATGGTACATGTATCTAACAATGTAACAGATGATACATGTATCTAACAATGTAACAGATGATATATGTATCTCACTTACAATGTAACAGATGATACATGTATCTCACTTACAATGTAACAGGTGATACATGTATCTCACTTTAATGTAACAGATGATGCATATATCTAACAATGTAACAGATGATACATGTATCTAACAATGTAACAGATGATACATGTATCTCACTTACAATGTAACAGGTGATACATGTATCTCACTTACAATGTAACAGGTGATACATGTATCTCACTTACAATGTAACAGATGATATATGTATCTCACTTACAATGTAACAGATGATACATGTATCTAACAATGTAACAGATGATACATGTATCTCACTTTAATGTAACAGATGATACATGTATCTCACTTACAATGTAACAGATGATATATGTATCTCACTTTAATGTAACAGATGATACATGTATCTAACAATGTAACAGATGGTACATGTATCTAACAATGTAACAGATGGTACATGTATCTAACAATGTAACAGATGGTACATGTATCTAACAATGTAACAGATGATACATGTATCTCACTTACAATGTAACAGATGATACATGTATCTCACTTACAATGTAACAAGTGATAAATGAATCAGACAATAACAAGTAGATAAATCTCCAGCACTTCTAGAGGAAATATAGCCATATTTCTCTTTTGCTTATCAGCAAAGGATGTTATTTAAAAATCTAACTTTTTCAATTAATACAATAGTTTTTTTGTGTGATAGATAATATTGGATTCTGAGCCTTTGTTATAACCAGATTTCCTGGAAAGTTAAAGTTGACAGATTTTAGGAAACCTCTTGAAGTCTAATGATGCACCATATTATTAACCTTTGTTACAGGTAATACATCCAGCAATTTCAGTCGACTGTCAGGTATTGGAAGAAATCTTATCAATGCATTAAAATCTTTTTTGTGGCCAGGATCATCATCATAGCAACAGAGAAAGAGGTGATGGGCCTCCCCATGTTACAAATGATTGAAAAAACAGATATGGAGGTGATTTACTTTTTGTTTACCAGGGGGGATTTTCGATGTGATAACTTTCTGTTTGCATGGAGGAATTCTCAGTAAAGGACTTCCTGTTTACCAGAGGGAATTCCCTGTTGAGGACTTCTGTTTACCAGAGGGAATTCCCAGTGGAGGACTTCTGTTTACCAGAGGGAATTCCCAGTGGAGGACTTCTGTTTACCAGGGGGAATTCCCAGTAGAGGACTTCTGTTTACCAGAGGGAATTCCCAGTGGAGGACTTCTTACCAGGGGAAATTCTCAGTGGAGGATTTCTTACCAGGGGAAATTCTCAGTGGAGGACTTCTTACCAGGGGAAATCCTCATTAAAGAACTTCATGTTTACCAGAGGGAATTCTCAGTAAAGGACTTCCTGTTTACCAGGGGAAATTCTCAGTAAAGGACTTCCTGTTTACCAGAGGGAATTCTCAGTAAAGGACTTCCTGTTTACCAGGGGGAATTATCAGTAAAGGACTTCCTGTTTACCAGAGGGAATTCTCAGTAAAGGACTTCCTGTTTACCAGGGGAAATTCTCAGTAAAGGACTTCCTGTTTACCAGGGGGAATTCTCAGTAGAGGACTTCTGTTTACCAGAGGGAATTCCCAGTGGAGGACTTCTTACCAGGGGAAATTCTCAGTGGAGGATTTCTTACCAGGGGAAATTCTCAGTGGAGGACTTCTTACCAGGGGAAATCCTCATTAAAGAACTTCATGTTTACCAGAGGGAATTCTCAGTAAAGGACTTCCTGTTTACCAGGGGAAATTCTCAGTAAAGGACTTCCTGTTTACCAGAGGGAATTCTCAGTAAAGGACTTCCTGTTTACCAGGGGGAATTATCAGTAAAGGACTTCCTGTTTACCAGAGGGAATTCTCAGTAAAGGACTTCCTGTTTACCAGGGGAAATTCTCAGTAAAGGACTTCCTGTTTACCAGGGGGAATTCTCAGTAAAGGACTTCCTGTTTACCAGAGGGAATTCTCAGTAAAGGACTTCCTGTTTACCAGGGGGAATTCTCAGTAAAGGACTTCCTGTTTACCAGAGGGAATTCTCAGTAAAGGACTTCCTGTTTACCAGGGGAAATTCTCAGTAAAGGACTTCCTGTTTACCAGAGGGAATTCTCAGTAAAGGACTTCCTGTTTACCAGGGGGAATTGTCAGTAAAGGACTTCCTGTTTACCAGGGGAAATTCTCAGTAAAGGACTTCCTGTTTACCAGTGGAAATTCTCAGTAAAGGACTTCCTGTTTACCAGAGGGAATTCTCAGTAAAGGACTTCCTGTTTACCAGTGGAAATTCTCAGTAAAGGACTTCCTGTTTACCAGGGGGAATTCTCAGTAAAGGACTTCCTGTTTACCAGGGGGAATTGTCAGTAAAGGACTTCCTGTTTACCAGTGGAAATTCTCAGTAAAGGACTTCCTGTTTACCAGAGGGAATTCTCAGTAAAGGATGTCCTGTTTACCATGGGGAATTCTCAGTAAAGGACTTCTTTTTTACCACTGGCTAAATTAAGAGTAATGGAAGTCACATAATACCTGGTCTATAGCAGGTGTGATAACTATACGTAGATACATTTATAAACAATATGCAACTTAAGGAATTATGTGTGACTCAAATCAAGATCTGATAAATTTACATATCTTGGTTACTACTTTTTGATACATTGTAGTGCTACTGGAGTTAAATGATGTGTTATCCCCATGGCACCTTTGTTTAGTTAGAAGAAAAGTGATTTTTTGTGCAATATGCAGTTATGGTTTAATGTTGATATTGTTGCATACTGCACAGTATAAAGGATATTTTGATATTTGGTGTTTTGCATTTCATTTCAATGGTTAGAGTCCAGAAAACTTATGTTATAGACTGTTGTCCAACATGTGTGACCTGTCTGTCTGAGTGTCATGTCTGTCCTGTCTGTCTTGTGTGTCCTGTCTGTCCTGTGTGTCCTGTCTGTCCTGTCTGTCTGCGTGTCCTGTCTGTCTGTGTGTCCTGTGTGTCCTGAGCCTGGGTATCCTGCCTGTCTGTGTGTCCTGTCTGCCTGTGTGTCCTGTGTGTCCTGTGCCTGGGTATCCTGCCAGTCTGTGTGTCCTGTGTGTCCTGTGTGTCCTGTGCCTGGGTATCCTGCCAGTCTGTGTGTCCTGTCTGTCCTGTGTGTCCTGTCTGTCCTGCCAGTCTGTGTGTCCTGTGTGTCCTGTGTGTCCAGTTTGTCCTGTGCCTGGGTATCCTGCCTGTCTGTGTGTCCTGTCTGTCTGTGTGTCCTGTCTGTCCTGTGTGTCCTGTGTGTCCTGTGTGTCCTGTGCCTGGGTATCCTGCCTGTCTGTGTGTTCTGTCTGTCCTGTGTGTCCTGTGCCTGGGTATCCTGCCTGTCTGTGTGCTAGTTAACATATCTGTTGAACATATTTTGATTTTATTGCTAGTTTTGAATGGATCTGTACTGCATTGCATTGCAAATTATCATGTAAAATATTCTTGTGAACTACCAACATAACATGCAACCCTACATAAAGGCCATCATTGCTCTCCATTATTTCAATTAAAATACTAAGTGTAGTGTAAGTGCTATAACTAGTTAGTTCTATTTTAGTGTATCTAGTACAGCTTGTTAGTTCTACCTTAGTGTAACTAGTACAGCTTGTTAGTTCTACCTTAGTGTAACTAGTACAGCTTGTTAGTTCTACCTTAGTGTATCTAGTACAGCTTGTTAGTTCTACCTTAGTGTAACTAGTACAGCTTGTTAGTTCTACCTTAGTGTAACTAGTACAGCTTGTTAGTTCTTCCTTAGTGTAACTAGTACAGCTTGTTAGTTCTACCTTAGTGTATCTAGTACAGCTTGTTAGTTCTACCTTAGTGTAACTAGTACAACTTGTTAATTCTACCTTAGTGTAACTAGTAAAACATGTTAATTCTACCTTAGTGTAACTAGTACAGCTTGTTAGTTCTACCTTAGTGTAACTAGTACAGCTTGTTAGTTCTACCTTAGTGTAACTAGTACAGCTTGTTAGTTCTACCTTAGTGTAACTAGTACAACCTGTTAGTTCTACCTTAGTGTAACTAGTAAAACATGTTAATTCTACCTTAGTGTAACTAGTACAGCTTGTTAGTTCTACCTTAGTGTAACTAGTACAGCTTGTTAGTTCTACCTTAGTGTAACTAGTACAGCTTGTTAGTTCTACCTTAGTGTAACAAGTACAACTTGTTAATTCTACCTTAGTGTAACTAGTACAGCTTGTTAGTTCTACTTTAGTGTGACTAGTACAGCTTGTTAGTTCTACTTAAGTGTAACTGGTACAACTTGTTAATTCTACCTTAGTGTAACTAGTACAACTTGTTAATTCTACCTTAGTGTAACTAGTACAACTTGTTAATTCTACCTTAGTGTAACTAGTACAACTTGTTAATTCTACCTTAGTGTAACTAGTACAGCTTGTTAGTTCTACCTTAGTGTAACTAGTACAGCTTGTTAATTCTACCTTAGTGTAACTAGTACAACTTGTTAATTCTACCTTAGTGTAACTAGTACAGCTTGTTAGTTCTACCTTAGTGTAACTAGTACAGCTTGTTAGTTCTACCTTAGTGTAACTAGTACAGCTTGTTAGTTCTACTTTAGTGTAACTGATACAGCTTGTTAGTTCTACTTTAGTGTAACTAGTACAAATTGTTAGTTCTGCTTTAGTGTAACTGGTACAGCTAGTTTCGTCAACTTCAGTGGAACTAGTACAGCTTGTTAGTTCTACTTTAGTGTAACTACTACATTTAGTTTGGTCTACTTTATTGTAAATAGTAAAACTATTTTAATCTACTTAAGTGTAACTATTAGAGCTAGTTAGTTCTACTTCAATGTAACAAGTACATCTTTTTAGTTCTAGTTTAGTGTAACTGGTACAGCTAGTTCGGCCTGCTTTATTGTCAGTAGAATAATTGTGTTACAGACATTTTCTAGTTCTTCTCCTTTTTTTTTACACATTTGAAAGCTTTTTGTAAAACTTCTTTCATTAAAGATTTGATGTTACTACATAAATAGTCTTTTGTGTGTAATTTTGCTTCTTCATTAAAAACTAAACAGCTATGGTCAGGGTCAAATATCAGGATATATAAAGTTCATCCTCAATACAATCTCATGGTTTATACAGCTAATGACCACATCAAAAATTTGACAACATTCTTCTATAATATTTTTTTTAAACATTTTAACATCAATTTTATCTTTATTTGAGTGGTAGGTATTCATTTCATACAATTTCCTTGGTGTCCTTGTTAAGAGGCGCCGAGGTTAACTGGCTAGAGCCACCCAAGGTTCTGGGTTCATATAATTTATAATCTGTTGTAAAGTTGTGTCCTGGTTTCAGTATACAATACAATTTATAATCTGTTGTAAAGTTGTGCCCTGGTTTCAGTATACAATACAATTTATGATCTGTTGTAAAGTTGTGCCCTAATTTCAGTATACAATACAATTTATAATCTGTTGTAATGTTGTGTCCTGGTTTCAGTATACAATACAATTTATAATCTGTTGTAAAGTTGTGTCCTGGTTTCAGTATACAATACAATTTATAATTTGTTGTAAAGTTGTGTCCTGGGTTCAGTATCAAATATAATATTTTATCAGCCATTCAGCAAAGGTTTGTCATTAGGTCGTACAGTTTTAACAGGTAAACACTCCCCACCATTAAACCATGGTTTGTCGTAGGTATACACTTCCCACCATTAAACCATGGTTTGTCGTAGGTATACACTCCCCACCATTAAACCAAGGTTTGTCGTAGGTATACACTCCCCACCATGAATTCGGTCGTATTGTAACAGTTTTGACAGGTATAGATATCAGATATATACCGACGTGTGGCGTTAGATACAGGAGAACCAAACAAGGAACTGTATCAGATATATAGCGACGTGTGGCGTTAGATACAGGAGAACCAAACAAGGAACTGTATCAGATATATACCGACGTGTGGCGTTAGATACAGGAGAACCAAACAAGGAACTGTATCAGATATATACCGACGTGTGGCGTTAGATACAGGAGAACCAAACAAGGAACTGTATCAGATATATAGCGACGTGTGGCGTTAGATACAGCAGAACCAAACAAGGAACTGTATCAGATATGTAGCGACGTGTACCGATTGTAAATGTAATTTTCCAGTGAGAGACAAAAAAAAAACAATTATATGTAGATTCAAGTGTTTTCATTCCACGGGGATGTAAAGGGTTGACAAAGGATTGCCGGATTCACCTCATTCATAAATATTAAACATTAAACTGTGCTGCTGATAACTCCAATGGCAAAGAAACTATTTGATGTCTATGTCTAGGCATTTACGTGCACGTTTATCTCTAAAATCTCTTCTGAACTTAAATACATCACATGTTTATGATTCATATTATTCATAGGAGAAGTGGATATCAACACCATGCTTCTTGATTTTTTTGTTGTAAAGAGAATCGAACCTTTCGTTTTGCGCAACTGTGAAGTAGTTCTTCCAGTCTCCAACATACCCTGAAAAATAATTACGAAAGAATCATGGTCCTTGATCAAACTACTTAAATATTTCGTATCAAATTAAGGTTCTTGTGATGAAAGAGACATTCGATATCTCGAACAGCGATTTTTACATAAAAAACAATAGAATTAATCACGGAACCCTTATCACTCCCTCATTAAGAAGTCAGTAGAAATGTTTACATATTAAGGATTGATAATACCTTTTCTATAAATAGGTAATCTACCGCCGTTTCCGGCATCTTTCCAAATTGCATTTTCCCCTGCCTCAGTTTCATGTTCCTTTTTCAGATTTTCAAATTGAACTGCTTTTTCCACTTTTCGTAAAAACGATTCAGATCTGTCAAGTTGGAAGAAGTCTACTAGTCTTGAAATAATGTCGAATGGATTCTGAAATGGTAATTATTAAGCGATGGTTTAACATGTATAATTACATACATCTCTTTACATAGTTATATCATGATAATTACAGGTGTAATACAGTGACAACATTTTTCATATAGGTAAGCATTACCTACTTCCTCGCGGACGCCTGTTATTAAATTTTATTTTCATGTTCTTGAAAGGAGAACCGAGGTAGAGCTTTTGAAATCACCAGATACATTATATGTTATGGATTGAACTTGTAAACTTTATATCACACAAGAAAATGAACCCTTCCCCAATGAAGTCATGGTGATTACCAAACCCCACCATACTTCATCGACATGAATCTCTAGAAAACCTGAGTTTAATGATTGTTTTTAAAGTTTTTTAAAGTTATTTTTTGTTAGTCACTTCTAGGTAGTTTTTAAACAAACCATTGAATATAGAGTCAACTGCAACGTATTAACAACGAAGGCTGGTGTGCAGGTAAGCTACTATGCTTGGATATATTAGGGAATTTGGGACTTGATACAGCCATCAGTATAACCAATCAGATATAGCTCTTTCCTAGGACTTGTTGATAATGATCGGAGTCTAAAGTATTGTTAAAAAATAAGTGATTATAACCTATTAGTACAAAAGAATTAGACAAAGTTCAGAAAAATCATTAATTTAACTGCATCACAAAGCTGTTTTGCCCCACTAGGACTCGTTTTGTGGTGTCAAGTCCTTAAATTTTGAAGCCTAGGAATCGGCCGAGTGATCAAAATTGTTCGAAATGTCAAAATGTAGATGACAAGATGCATGAATCGCTTAATCTGCTATATTTCATAATTTTCACAAATGGATTATTCTTAAAGAAAAAAAAAGAAAAAAAGATCAAATAAAGCTGAAATACAGGAGTATATTGTAAACCGTGCCGCTATACAGAATGCATACAAAAGAGAACAAAAGAAACTTCAGTGAACAGTGCATATCTGTAAATAAATTTGGAGAATTCCTAGATTCTGCCAATTATCATAACCACAAAGCAATTGTTCGTATATAAACCTGTTTGATTTCTTCATATTGCAGAGAGAAAACAGTTAGATTTCTGTTGCAGCGCTTAGCCTTCTCCCAATCTCTGATGTACGAAAACCAATTTCCACCGAACAGTGCAACTAAAAGGAAAAATCATAAGAGGTACTATTACTGAATGTGAAAAAATATGTTTTAAAAAAGTTACTTCGAGCACAATCTAGAATCTTCAGAGGTTACATCTAATAAGCATTGTATAGAAACACAACATATATACAGGTGTAATAAGGTAATATTTTGATAAAGGGCCTGTTTCCAGTAATGTTAATTCTCCATAGGAGCCTGCCCCCGTATATAATTTCTTATCTAGCTCAAATACTGTTTTTTTCTTTTCCGAAAAATAATTTTACACCTTTCCGACACCCAGATTTCATAATTTCAGTGAAAATGTATTTTTATAAAGTTGTGAATTTCAGCATCAAGACATAAGTTCGTAAATAAAAGAAGGTTATCTCGAAATTATAATTCGCAACATAGTATAAATTTCTTTTGATAAATATTTCCAAAACATCGTGTTTATTCATAAAACATAAAAAAAAAATATTCTCGGATGAAAATGCACTTGCAGAGACACAATTATGAAGAAAAATGCCATAAATTTGCAATTTTCTCCCGTTGTATAGTTTTGGATGCAAATTTCCATCAGAAAATCGGATAGAGCTTAACTTGTTTCATATGTGTACCAAAAATCAGCTAATTCCATGTGGTGGAACGTTCTCATTTCGCCGCCTGAATGTGGTCGTAAATTGAAAGAAAAAGGGAAATGAGTAACAACCTTGTCTGAAACCCTATTATATAGCTTATTATATACAAACTTTTATATTGAATATCAGAGCGGATATTTTCATGACAGTTTTATGATGTAAAAAAAAATAAATAAAGTACTGTTTCCCCGTCTCGATCTTCATTACTTGAGAATCTCTGGCTCCTGGTTACATCGCCGAACATTTAAGTGATGACGGAGACTATGAGGTGTGGCTTTACCAGCACTCCCCAGACCTTCTCCGATGTCAAATACATTCTCGACACAAAAGCCAAACGAAATATAACGTTTGGATACGGTTCACCGCTTCACCCGATGTTGAGGCCCCAATAAAGGACTACTACTGCCAGTGCCCAGTTGGAGAGAGAACGATGGGAATGTGTGCGCACATCTCCAGTATCTTGTACTACCTTGGGTATTACAGGACGCTGAAAAACCCTCGACCATTACAACCAAAGGTAAAGAAATAGTTTTCCATGCGGCAACAGAGTGCATATGTCGAAAGTATGTTTGGGGCTCGATATGAAAGATCCCCGTTACCATGTGACTAACCAAACTTATAAATATAGGTATTATACAATCGCCCGTAGCTATGAACTCTCCCGTAAATGCGAAAACCAACCAAAATCATAAGGAACACGTTTTGTTTGTTGTTCTGTCTATTTGTAAGCCAATGTCTTCAACCACGGGGACTTACGAAGTAGCCATCTTGGATTTTTTTATGAAAAAGTGTTTCTCTCACTTTTTTTCATATCTGTGTGCATATTCTCAACATACCGAGCAAATACTCTCGTTTTTTTGTTCATTATCTAAAGAAAGTAGAAAATCGGCAATTCAACCATAGGCTAATTCAACCCAACATTTGAAAATGTTCCACCACTTACATTTTGATGATTTTTCCTCTCATTAATAGCATATTATGTACTATTTAATAGGATAAAAAATGGTTTGCATCCAACGCCCATAAAAGGGTGTATTCTCTAAAAATCACAGTTTTTGTGTCTAAAATGTTATCGAAAATGGCATTTTTGAGATTGTTTCTTCCATAAAACAGCCAAATGGCGCGATGGAAACATGAATTTTTGTCACAATCATGCCATGAATGTATTCTTTACGGTGACTATCATTTGATTAGATTTTCATTAATATTTTACATAACATGCACATTTTAACGACACTTAGACAGCTTCTGAAAGGTACAACTTTGAGGAGCCATAAAAAACAAACCAAGTGACCTAAATCTTTATACTTTATAGATTTGTGACCACAATGGCATGGGCAATGCACCACCAACAGGAAATTTGAATCAGAGAAGGGGCCGTTTTGGAAACCGGCCCTTTGCATAACCTCGGTGTGAAGTTGATGAGAATGAACATCGAAGTTAATAAAGGAACAAGATGACGGAAAAGCTATCTCTGGCAAAAAATAAAATTCAGAAATGAACTTGAGAACAATATCAAACAGCTAGTATATCTGTTCGATTGCTACTCATTAACCAATCATCCATGAAAATTGAAATAAATAATGTTCATTGTAAATAGTATTGTGAATAGGTCTGATCACATTGAAAAATAAAACTAAAAGCCAATACGCTTGTACTGGATCGTACAAAAATGCACCCATGGGAGTATATCGGATGATACCGAGTGATATTGTCATTAAGCTTGTGGGTTTGTAATTGACCCTTGGTGTGATAAGGTCAAATAAGACTCAGTGTTTCTTCAATGTGGAGCAACGTGGCAGCTGCGAACGAAAATGTTTTTAAAAAAAAACAGTCATGATTGTCGGGGCCAGTTTTACAGAAAGCGGGCACTTTGGCAGACGTTCCCCCAGGTTAATCAGGTGTTCGGATGTGTAATAAAGAGGGTTGAATTCACAACTGGACATTGACTTCTTACGTAGTCGAAACACTGTACTACATGAAGTAAATGTCAGTATCCAGATGGGGTGATGCACCAAATTTCAAAACATTCTGAGGAATCGAACAAAGTTCCAGAGGCAGTTTCTCATCCCAAACCTTAGCCTAATTAAGTGGATGTGATTTTCAATTCACTTATACGTTGTTTTTAGTGTAGTGAATGGTTTTGTCCGAATACAAAAATCACCAAAATATTTCATTCGATCAATTTTGGATTCCCTCAGTGGTCAAAATTTAGGATCTCGGCATCATCAACGAGTGTCAGAAGGAACAATTGAATTCATTACTTGACAATGCTATATCTCAATCTAAATAAGTATGAAAGGGTGCTATCTATATGTGTATTATCTTTGCAATGTAAAAAAGCATTACACTCATCCGATAGAGCTAACTCCAAAAACCCATCAAAGGCTCCTTCGTATACTGTCGATCCAACTTGTTGGTAATGCTCATAAAAAGACGTTATGGTGTCCTTTGGATTTCTGACAACTTGTACAATCTTCACTTTGCCCTGTCTCGCCATGGCTGGAATCAATGGATACGTCAGGTGTGTGTGGAGGGTTCGGGGGGAATCAATATGTTGTAACTCGCTTGACGGAAAAAACTCGATCATGTAAGGTGTTCCTCTGTATTGAAGAGTTTCTGATCGGATCATATGAATCATGTTATACACCCAATGTGTTCCTGAAATGACATTTAAAGCAAAAGGCTCTTACTCTTATGGACAACCTAGTCATATTCTGTATTTTTCTTAGCTCTCCATGTAATGTTTCTTTTGTTCATATTTTGCCCTCGTTTCATTAGTATTAGCATTTCTGTATTTCCTCTGTTGTTCTCCGCAAAATCACATTAATGATTTGAATCCTTTTCACTGGTAAAGGAAATAATGTTCATACAGAATGGCAATACTACATTACAGAAGTCTGTCCCTCTCACCCATATCTGGTAATCCTCACCCATATCTGGTCATCCTCACCCATATCTGGTCATCCTCACCCATATCTGGTAATCCTCACCCATATCTGGTAATCATCTTTGATCTGTATCGAAACGCCGCCTTTCTACTTAATGATATATTTTCGGTGTCTCAAGGGTCAGGATTATCCTGCATATTTATTTCATCTTCTAGTACAATGGCATGCCCTTAAAATGTTTACTAAGGTAATACTAAACAAACTACCAGGTACACCTACTAACATATATTTCAATACAATGTCACGTCCATAAAATGTTTACCAAGGTAGTACCAAACAAACTATCACGTATACATACTAACACATATTTAGCGTAAAGAAATTGATACCGAAGAAGGAAATATAGTATCATGAAGATAGATCTTACGCAGAGTTTAATTCTAAGGAGAAATAACCTCACCCCTTTATATAAGGTTGTTTTCCTTTGATATCTTACAGTTTCAACTTTAATTTTGTTGTATTTTATAGTGACTAGGATTGAGCTTACTATAAAAAGAATATGTGCTTAACACATCTAGCAATGTCATATCTATTTGCATATTACATTTCGTTTGAATGTTTTCCCATTGCCTTTCATTGAAACTAATTATATAGAGATATTGACGATTCAAGCGGTGATGGGCCTTTTGTTTCCGTAAGATATACTCTGAACAGAAAGGAGTCATTTATAAATGTTCTTTCCTGACTTGTTTCATTCCTTTCTTTCTCTTTGTTGTAGCTTTATATGTGATGTATTTTATTATATAGTTCAAAACTTCTGTGATCTCTCGTTTTGCGTGATTTTATAATTTTATCAATGGGGTAGTCAAACGTCACTGTAATGGATGTGTCAGAGACATCTATTGGGACATTTTGTTTGATTTCATGTTAAGGACTGACAAATGAATTAATATGTCACTCCTTAAATTAGTAGCACTTGTAACAATTCATTATATCTATAACCTAACACCATTTAGCTTGCCTACTTAAGTTGAGAAGCGATATATTTAGTGATACCAAGTATCTCATTTTGTTCCATAACAAAAATAATAATGTTAACATACAGCTTCATATACCTGTGATACTAAATAGCAAAAAATTCAAAATGCAATGAAACGGTCATTACTTTATAAACCATACATATCTAAAACGCTTGTTAAATGACAACAACATTGTAAAACCTAACATGTGTGTTATCATTGACAATAATGAACACATTGTAAAACCTAACATGTGTGTTATCATTGACAATAATGAACACATTGTAAAACCTAACATGTGTGTTATCATTGACAATAATGCTGCCTGTGAGCCGTATATTTACCTGATTTAGGATAGGTACACAATAGCACATCATCTGGACGGAGAGCTAACGAATCTACTTCCCTCAGACGCTCTTCTATATTCCCGGGGATATCAGGATGGAATTTCAACCCATTAAACGGTTTAAAACGAAATATATTGCCACGAGAATCTGTTTCTTCCACTCTCTGCATTGTTTACGTATGGTGTCCTTAAGGATTCGGCCACATTAGATGACAACGAGGTCCGGTATGACGATATAAGAAGAAAATTGACCACACCTATACCTACGGGGTGAATTCATTTTGGTGTAATTAGTTATATAATATGTATGTAGTTCATCTGTCTTGATGCGTCAACGTCATGGTTGGCTAACTTTTGAAAGTACCGTATTGTTATGTTCAAGATAGTAATCTGTTTCACAATGAATCGTTCACCAGTGGCGTTTTAGCAAAGAGCGATAGACGAAAAGGCCATTTTGATCCGTATCAGTGGTAGACACTGCTGGATGACTTTCAGCCCTCGCGGTTTTTCGTAACTTCCATCGGCCACGCCTTACTTCATTTAGATATCGTCCACAATATATACATTACATGTAGATATCGTTCACAATATATACATTACATGTAGATATCGTCCACAATATATACATTACATGTAGATTGTAACCCTCTCGAACCGTTCGAGAGACACAATTGAAGGACTACTGAAGGTGAAGAAAAACGCCTTTTATTTCCGGTAAGCTTACAAAACTCTCTCGCTCCCGTACCTGCCCTGGTCCCAGGCCTCGTGACACCAGTCCGTCCAATACGCTGTCTAGTGACCGGAGTGAGGAACGATCTTGTCCCCTCCTATTTATGTCTAATGCCTACGTGACTGTCAAATTTGATGGGTGACCCCGGTTGACCAAGGCTGTCAAACTATTACTAATTTTGAATTGAATCCCAGACATTCTGGAGCCAAAACAGTCGAAAACAAATACAAAGCCTTCAATTCGGCCACACACGCCAAGGTCCGGTCTCCCAGTGTAAACAAAAGACTTTCAAAAATTACGTCACATAAACATTTGTCAGCGTTTTAGGTATTAACTATTGCGCAGTTTGTGCACCTGCCTCAGCAGCAGCAGTACAGCGTAGTAAAGTGACCTTAATATATGTCCCCCACAGAACAATGACTGTGTATCAGAACATATAACTAAAACAGATAATTCTGCTTAATAATTAAATATTATAAACATCAACTCAGTAACAGAACCAAAACAGATAATACTGCCTAATATCTAAAGCAAGGGCAGATAACCTTGCATAGGGTTACAAGATACCGTCCACAATATATACATTACATGTAGATATCGTCCACTATATATACATTACATGTAGATATCGTCCACTATATATACATTACATGTAGATATCGTCCACAATATATACATTGCATGTATATATCGTCCACAATATATACATTGCATGTAGATATCGTCCACAATATATACATTACATGTAGATATCGTCCACTATATATACATTACATGTAGATATCGTCCACTATATATACATTACATGTAGATATCGTCCACTATATATACATTACATGTAGATATCGTCCACTATATATACATTACATGTAGATATCGTCCACAATATATACATTTACAATATATACATGTAGATATCGTCCACTATATATACATTACATGTAGATATCGTATATATACATTACATGTAGATATCGTATATATACACAATATATACATTACATGTAGATATCGTCCACTATATATACATTACATGTAGATATCGTCCACTATATATACATTACATGTAGATATCGTCCACTATATATACATTACATGTAGATATCGTCCACTATATATACATCGTCCACTATATATACATTACATGTAGATATCGTCCACTATATATACATCGTCCACTATATATACATTACATGTAGATATCGTCCACTATATATACATTACATGTAGATATCGTCCACTATATATACATTACATGTAGATATCGTCCACTATATATACATTACATGTAGTCCACTATATATATCGTCCACTATATATACATTACGTCCACTATATATACATTACATGTAGATATCGTCCACTATATATACATTACATGTAGATATCGTCCACTATATATACATTACATGTAGATATCGTCCACTATATATACATTACATGTAGATATCGTCCACTATATATACATTACATGTAGATATCGTCCACTATATATACATTACATGTAGATATCGTCCACTATATATACATTACATGTAGATATCGTCCACTATATATACATTACATGTAGATATCGTCCACTATATATACATTACATGTAGATATCGTCCACTACATATACATTACATGTAGATATCGTCCACAATATATACATTACATGTAGATATCGTCCACAATATATACATTACATGTAGATATCGTCCACTATATATACATTACATGTAGATATCGTCCACTATATATACATTACATGCCTGAACATTTATTGTTGGGCATATTAATTTTGACACTGCTTTCCGGATCAATTTGGATTTCCCTCAGGTTTCATAATCAAGGTCCTTAGTATCATTGACGATGTTTAATTTGTATTGAAAGATGCTATTCATTGTGTCGTTTGTGCAACCTGTGTGTAGTTAACGAGAAAATTGTCAAAAAACTATGAGCGAATATCTGACAGAAAGGTTTTATGGATTAGGAAATCAAAATGTATTTATACTACCTGTCTCGATACACTATCATGGAGCATTGATCCGCTACGTATGCAATAATTCCATGCAAGAGTAATTGCCATAATAGTCCGAAATAAAAGATCTTAACAATGTATCAGCGTGTGTTTCACGCAATACGTCACAACGAAAAGCAAAATCCTTGTAAATTGACTTACTCTTCTACTTTCTGCAGTCGCCTCCTATATTTCAACACTTTAGACCTTTACGGAGGACGAATCAGCTTAAATATTCTCTTTATTTATCCAAATTGTTGATTTTATATACAAAACAATATACTTCATGCACAAAATTTTGATAATAACAATGATTGATGTATTATAAAAGATCATTAATGATCTACAGTATATATCTACAATGTTAACGTGTATATAACTGTTACCAAGGGTCTATAAACATTCAGGGAAGTAAGCGATTCATATTCTTCAGACTTTCAATAAATCCACTATATTCGAAAGGTTCATCATAAAAATCATGAAAATGAAGACATGAAAAAAAATGTATTCTACAGTTTCACCAGGTATGTATTATTTATTATATATTAACACGTTATTATACGCATGAATCTTTCTTTAAAAGTCGACTATTTTTCAACGCATAAATATCAGCCATGTCCTTGTTAATATAGCTGCAGAATGTAACCTTCTTCGTATAGTACAAGTTAAACATGTTTAAAAGGCCTTGTCGATGACAAAGATCAAGAAACGCAGGGTGAACTTTAAACCAGAAATTAAGTTGATATCGGGCTTCATTTAAAACGAAATTTTGTATACTTACAGATAAATTAAAGCTTAAAAATTTCCAAAGTCTGTATTTTGCATCTGACAATTGGTTTAGAGGTACTAACGATTAATTTGAATGGACCCATAGGATTTTGAAATTGAAATTGAACTGAGTCATCAATATCTTGTGTGTCCGCCGTTTGCTGTGGTCAATCAGAGCTCAGGTCAACTGCTCTCGAGTAGCAGGGGGTGGCTGGCGTTTTCGAACCTGTCTATCCAACTGGTCCCAAAGATGCTCGATCGGGGACAAATCAGGGCTATATGGCGGCCAATCTAGTGGTTGAATGTTGTTGTTGGCCAGAAAGACCTGGCAAATCCTTGCTACGTGGGGCCTAGCATTATCCTGCTGGAGGGTTAGATTATGCTGCTGTAAGAAAGGGATAACATGGGGTCGGAGGATCTCATCTCTATACTTAGCTGCTGCTAAATTGCCATCAATAACAACCATTTGTGATTTTAACCCGTTTGAGATTCCTCCCCACACCATTACTGAACCGCCCCAAACCTATCCCTCTCTACAACGCAAAAAACGTAAAACGTTCGCCACGACGTCGGTAGACACGTTGGCGGCCGTCAGACTCGTCCGTGAAGAAAACTTGTCTCCACTGCCTCAGTGGAAACCGTCGTAGAGCATGTGCAGCGAGCCAGGCCATACGACGCTGACGTCGAGCAGGGGTGAAGTGTAGGGGCGACGTGCTCTTACACCAACTTCTCGTAATCGATTCCTTACAGTTTTTGAACTTATAGGACGCCCATGATTTCCATGAACATTAAGTGCACTCTCAACGGCAGTAAGGCGCCGATTACGCACATGAGAGACGACGATATAGCGATCCTGACGTCGTGACGTTACGCGCGGACGTCCTGACCTAGGTCGATCGGCCAATCGCCCAGTTTCCCGAAGACGCCTTACAAGACGTTCTATGGTGGAAACATTAACACCAAAGTGCCTAGCAACCTGATTTTGCAGCTGTCCTTGCATCAGCATCTGAATGGCCTGACCCCTCTGAACTTCTGTGAGTCGTGCCATTCTTAAAACGAATCAAATTCTCAATTAATTTTAGGGAAGCAGTTGGTCTGTATAAAGACTAACGAAGAGTGACTTGACCAACGCTGCATGAGACCAGAACAACACGGTGCACGAGATACTTGTTGTTTCACTTCCTTATCTACACGTGATTATATAGATGCTGTCACACACTGTAGTCACAATAACGTGTCATTATATAGATACTTCTGTCACACATACCTATAGTCACAATAACGTGAGATTATATAGATACTTCTGTCACACATACTTATAGTCACAATAACATGTCATTATATAGATACTTCTGTCACACATACTTATAGTCAAACAATATACGTGTCACACATATCATTATGTAGATACTTCTGTCACACATACTTATAGTCACAATAACGTGTCATTATATAGATACTTCTGTCACACATACTTATAGTCACAATAACGCGTCAATATATAGATACTTCTTTCACACAAACTTATAGTCACAATAACGTGTCACTATATAGGTATAGAGATACTTCTGTCACACATACTTATAGTCACAATAACGTGTCATTATATAGATACTTCTGTCACACATACTTATAGTCACAATAACGTGTCATTATATAGATACTTCTGTCACACATACTTATAGTCACAACGTGTCATTATGTAGATACTTCTGTCACACATACTTATAGTCACAATAACGTGTCATTATGTAGATACTTCTGTCACACATACTTATAGTCACAATAACGTGTCATTATATAGACTTCTGTCACACATACTTTCTGTCACACATACTTAT